TTCTGATATTTTATTGTTGATTTTTTGTCTTGTTCATCTGTCCATTTGTGATAGTGGGGTATTGAGGTCCCCCATTACAATTGTTTTAGTGCTTATTTGACTTTTAATGTCCATTAGTATTTGTTTTATATAGTTGGGTACAGTGGTATTTGGTGCATATATATTTATGACTGTTATTGCTTCCTCTTGGATTGTTCCCTTTACAAGGATGCAGTGGCCTTATTTGTCTCTCTTAATCAATATTGCCTTGAAATTCATTTTGTCTACAAATAGAATAGCTACCCCTAGTTTTTTCTGGGTTCCTGCCACATGGAGTATTGTTTTCCATGTTTGACTTTCTGTCAATGAATTTATTTTTCAGTTAAATGTGTTTCTTATATGCAGCAAATTGTTGGATCTTGCTTCTTGATCCATTCTACCAGTCTCTGTCTTTTTTTTTTAAATTTAGAAAATTCAAGATTTAATAAACTAGAGTAACAATAGTTGAGGTTTTCAGAGTGAATACCATGCATTTTCATCAGGAGAGAGTACCTTAAAGTCTGAAAGTCCAAAAAGGAAAGTGACATCTATGCACAGTTTCATTTAAGACAACAATAATGTCAGCTTCAACACCTGGAATCATAACACCACCTTAAACCCCAAACTATAATCTACTGAACTATTAAAAGTTATAATCTCCTAGAAGCAAGGTATTTCATAAGACATTTTAAAAACTTTTGGCTGGGCACGATGGCATACACCTGTAATTCCAGCACTCAGGAGGCTGAGGCAGGAGGATCACTGTCAGTTTGAGACCAGCCTGGACTACTAAGTGAATTCAAGACCAGCCTGAACTGCAAAGCGAAACCCTGTCTCAAAAAGACAAAAACAAAAACACAACTTCAAATCTCATTAGTCTCTGTCTTTTGATTGGTGAATTGAGACCATTAATGTTAATGATTATAACTGACAGATATTGATTTATCCTTGTCATGTTATTTTCCTGTCACTGGCTCCCTTTTCCCCACCTTTGTTTTAATTGTTTGCCTTTCATGGTGGATTCATTCTGTTTGGGTTCATGGAGCTGTAATTCTTGTTCTCTCTGTCTAGAATGTTCTTCAGAACATTTTGTGGTGCTGGTTTAGTGGTCATGAATTTCTTCATGTGCTCCTTGTCTTGGAAATATCCCATTTCTTCATGAATTTTAAAGATAATTTTTCAGGGTATATCAATCTGGGTTGGAAGTTATTTTCTTTTAGGGCTTGAAATACTTCACTGCAAACTCCCTTGACTTCAGCGTTTGTATTGAGAAGTCTTCCTTCATTTTGATAGGTTTTCCTTTATAGGTGATTTTTTTTCTTTTTTCTAAGAGCTTTTAATATTCCATTTTTTGTTGAATTTCTGGAATCTTCACCATGATATACCTTGTTGTAGTTTTTTTTGATCATAGCTAATTGGAGTTTTACATGCCTCACTGGCTGTGTGTTAAATTCTTTCTCTCTGAGAGGGAAATTTTCCACCGTGTGTGTACAGTTATTTTATGTCATGTATGTTATCTCCTGCTTTTTTCATTGATTCTGTACACTCTTATTTGCATCATCTAGCAGGTGCTGGATTGATTTCTCATGGTTTCTTGCTATTTTAAAGAAATCTTTCTTTTCCTGATCATTACCTCAATCCTGTCTTCTGTATCTGCAGTTCTGTCCTCACAAGGGCTCATCCTACTGTGTACACTTTAATGGAATTTTTAGTCTCCTGGATATCTGTTTGAATCTCTTTTATAGGTTACATTTCTTTCTTATGTTGGACATTCACGGTTTCCATCATTTTCCTGAGCTTCTCTATTTTAAAAAAAATCTGTATCTACTCTATAGTCACTAAGTATGCCTTTCATTATGGTCTCCATCTCTGTAGTTATCTGAGAATTTATTTTTGATTTGATTTTTTTCTAGAGCCTCTTTCATTTGCTTTGTTACTACCACTTCAGGGAGTCCAGGTGGGTGGCTTTTGGATTGTTCCACCTCATTGCCCCCTGCAGTTGCCTTTGGTGAGCTGGAAGTCTGAGGTTGCATCTTGTTTAAGTGCCTTCTCATTTTGTATATTCTTGAATCTTAATTCGGGGTTTATGTTTGTAAATTGCCTATAGTGAGTAGCTTTTTTGCTGGTATTTAGAACCTTTAGGAAGTAACTACTTCTCACAGGTGTCTTCCAGGTGTAGCTGGCTTTTGAGTTTACTGCAAAATCCTATCTCTTCAATTTATTGGGGTTGAGAAGTTGTCGCCTGCTTGGCCCAGCCCCGGTTTCTTTGGCACTGGCTTATAGTATTGCTTATGAACCTTAGGCAATCTCAGTCTTGGCATACCAGGAAGAGCAACTGCTTGGAACAATTATGTTGCCCTAGTTAAAGTGGTACAATCAGCAATAAACAATAGTGTTAAACACAGCCTAGAAAATGACAAACTGAGATAACTATTAAACTGCCACCTTTAACTGTATGAAGTAGATTTTTGGTTACATACCAAAATCTAGAAAATTGTATGCAGTAAATAAACCCTTAAAATGGCAATTTTACCATCAGGAGAGAAATTTTAGAAGGGATTGGGGCTGGGGGAGAAATAAATAGAAGAAAAGAAAGAAATTAGAAGCAAGGCTAGAGGACAAAGGTGCACCTCAAAAGCTTGGGTAAACTGGTGCAAAAGATGGGGGGAAGAGAGAAGGAAGAAATAAGAACAAAAATAGAACAACATCAGCGAAACTAGAAGCCGTGTTCACACTTCTATAAAAACAATGTGGAAAAAACAAAAAACAAAAACAAATAAATAAAAAACTGAGAGAAAAAAATATGTAGAAGCTAAAGAAAAGAATTTAAACAAAAGAAGAAGGGAAGAAAAAAAACCATGCATTTCAAGGTTTTTCTCTGCTATTACTGGTTCACAGTGTGAGCAGAATCCAGATCCGTGTTGATCAATCCCAGCAAGCCAGTAGCAGCTCCCACGGTGAGGTAGAGAATAATCTCAGCAAGGCTGCACCCCTATTTCCACTGAAGTTCAGGCTGTCCTCTGGCTGCCAGGTTGGAATCAGACCCTACCAGCCTGTATAGCAGTCTGTATTTCCCCTGTGAGCTCCATTGGGAGCCACTAGGTGGAGCCAATAGCTGCTCAGTGTCCTGGGGTCATTTGGCTCCTTTCCAAGATGGCTCCTAGCTAACTGCCATCTCTTGCGGGACATCTGACCTGGACAACTCACAGGCAGGGTGCTGCCGCCCAGCACACCACTCTGCTTGGATGCTTCTCCACCAGGGACCTTAGGTGTTGCCAGCACCTGTGGTTGCCAGCAGTCAGTGACTGCAGTTTCCAACTGTCCCTCCCCTGCAGTGAGTCTGGGCTCAGGGAGAAAGTGCTGCCTGCCTTCTACTTCCTCCTTGATCCCCATGGGCTTCAGTTCTCACTTCAGATTCTTCCTGGGTCCTGCTCTCCTTCCTGTTTTCCTCACATTGCTATATTCCGATGTTTGGCCACCAATTCTCAGAGAGGCTTATCTCTGCTGCTTACCACTCTGCCATTTTCTCAAACTTAACTGGAACTTTATACCTGTTGATTAGTAACACCTCACGTCCCCTTCTTTCCATCCTCTGGCAGTCGCCATTGTACCCTTTACATTTATGAATTTGAATATTCACCTCATTCTATAGCTGTACCTTTGATCATGAACCAGGAAGTGCCACATGATTTTAGAGAAGGCTTGGGTGTTCTGTTTCTTTAATCATTCATTTACTTTTTTACAAATATTTTTCGAGTACCGGCTGTGTGCCACATAGACACAAAGGTGCTAGACACTCAGTGGACAGCAAAACAGAAGTAGTTCTTACCCTCCTGGAAATTTCTAGTGAGAAAGATCATTACTGCTAGAACAATCACACATCCTGGACATAATTATAAACTGAATCATGTGCTGTGATTATTTAGAAACATACCCATACAATTCATCCTTTAAAAGTGTACAATTCAGTGAATTTTATTATATGTATAAAGTTATCCAGCCATCACCACTGCCTAATTCCATACCTGATTATCTATAACCTGTAAGAATGTTTTCAGATAATTAATCCACAGCTGTGCACCGCACATGTTCAAATGCAATAATGGAAATTATTGAAAAGAACACTATTATAAATCAAAACACCACTCCTGATTGATTAAATATTAGTTTGGCATTTTTTTTTTTTTGTGTGTGTGTGTGTCTTATTTCCCATTCCCCTACCTGAACTGCATCACAGCTCTTGGATGCTTTTCCAGCTTTGCCCTTGCTATTGCAGTGTTTATAGGCTGTCCTGGCAGTGCTTAGACTGATTATCAAAAATGGGGTAGATTTGAAATGAGTATAGAGTAGTCAAGTCAGGTCTTAATAGATAAGATCATCCAAAATATGGCCTTCTGATCATAGATTTTAGTCTTATGCTCTCACTCTACTCTTATGATCCAATAATGAAAATTAGGAATATAAGCAAGACTAATAAAGAATAACATTCCTAATTACAAAAGGACCTTGTAGATTTCTCCTATTAACAAGATTCCCTAGTGCAGTATTAATGGCAATGTGTCTTTTACTGTAATAAATTTTTAAAATTTAAATATCCACTGTGTATTTTCATCATAGCTCATATCTGACAGTGGAAGGCAGACTGAGCATTTCAGTTTATGATAGCTGATGTTAATGCAAGGTAGATAGTGTTACAATTGAGTCAAATAATAGAACATCCAGTTGGTGTCAGAAGATTTGAAGTACTGGACAGTTTGGGGAATAAACTCATATTTGGACACAGAAGTATTCTGTTGAGTGATAATTTAGAGAAGAAAACACTTTGTGTTAGTTACAATTTGTGCGAAACAGTGCGTCTTCAGATCTACCTGTATTGATCTTTTTTTAACCATCAATCAGGATCTGTCCACAGTCTTTTGTTTTATTAGCATTTAGTTTTTCTTTTCGATACCTGATAACTAAGTCTTATTTTTTCCCTTCAGCATTTCAGCATCAAAGAGTCCATACCAGGGAGAAACCTTATGAGTATAAGGGGTTGAAAAAGCCTTCAGTCATACATCATGCCTTAGATATTACAAGTGAATTCATACTGTAGAAAAACTTTATCCTTGTAATAAATGCAGGAAAGATTTTAGCTGTATTTCAGCCCTTTTTCAGCATCACAGAATTTATACTAGAAAGAAACCCTATTAGTGTACTGAGTGTGGGAAAACCTTCAGTTGCAGCAGCACACATCTCATTGAACATCAGGGGATGCATTCTGGAGAGAAATCTTTCCAGTGTAAAGAATGCAGAAAAGTTTTTATCACAATATGTAATTAACTGGACATCAAAGAATTCATATAGGAGAGATACTTTATGAATGTAATGAGTGTGGAAAAGCTTTCAGCCATTTGTCAGCCTTCATTTGTCACCAAAGAATCATACTGAAGAGAAACTCTATGAGTGTAATGAATGTGGAAAAGCCTTCAACCAGAGTACACATCTCACTGAACACCTAAGAATGCACATTGGAGAGAAACCCTATGTTCATAAAGAATGTGGAAAAACCTTCAGCTGAAGTATACAACTTACTGAACATCTGAAAATTCATTCTTGTGAAAAACTCTATCATGTAATAAATGTCCAAAATGGTTTTGCTATAGAACATCACTAATTGAGCATCAAATGGCTCATGCAGGAGAAAAACCCTGCCAATGTGATGAATGTGGGAAATCCTTCAGTTTAAGCTCAGCCCTCACAAAATAAATGTACACATAGAGGGAAGAAATCCTATCAATGCAGTAAATGTGGTGATGTTTTACTTGTCATAATACATCTTTAATCTGACATCAGATAACTCATTTCAGAAACACAGCCTTGTCAGAGTAATGAATGTGGATTATCACTTACCCAGAGTACTCATGCTGACAAGAAAGCCTACGATTGTTATATGAGAAAAACTTCAAACAAAACACTCATTTACTCAGTATTACACAGTTCTAAGATACATTTTTTCTTGTAGTTAAATTAAAAATGTATTATCATGGATAGAAAAAGTTATAATGGAACTATTCATCAAAAACTGAGGTGTGTTTTATTATGTCTTTTTGTCTTTTTCATGCAGGGTCTCGCTATGCAGTTCAGGCTGGTCTTGAGCTCACTTTGTAACCCAGGCTGGTCTTGAACTTGCAACTATCCTTCTGCTTCAGCCTCCGGGGTGCTGGGATTACAGGTGTGCACCACCATGGCCGGCTGAGGTGTGTTTTTTAAAGGTGTATATGGGTAATTTTTTTTTGTTTTTTTACCACTTTATTCCAACCTGAGTACCTCAATATAAAACTAAACACTGGTGAACTGTTCTCCTTGCTAATTCTGAATTATTGTAAAATGTACAAGGGATCTGCTAAGAGTTCGACACTTAAATAGATTAAATCATCTGGTTTTTTTTTTGGTTTTTTTTTTTTTTTCCGGTATCGGGAACCGAACTCACGACCTAGCGCTTGGCAGGCAGGCGCTTTGCCGCTGAGCTAAATCCCCAGCCCCTATATCATCTGACATATGGTAGATTTCATATAATGAAAATACTTAGAAATTAGTGAAATATACGGAGTTTATCAAAATAAAGTGGACTTTGAAAAACAAGGCTGCAAGATAAATGTTATTAACATTGTAATATTTATGTTACAAATTATAGATACATTTCTTATTATGGTTCTAGCCATGTAGGAACTGAAGCCCCTTCTTTACAAAGGGTGAGAGAAAGAATCAGCTGTTTTAGTAACTGTACATTTTGTATACTTTTAAGCAACCCTTAAATATTACAGAAAAATAATAAACATAGATGAGGCTACAATGTAGTACTTTATTTATAGTACAGCTCAAGATAAATTAAAACAATCAAGTTTGAATGTACATAATTGTTAGTGCACTGACTGTATTACACCCAAAGGGAACAAAAATCTCTTCCCTGCCGCAAATAAGACCTATGTAATGGCCTGCAGGGATTGAAAAAAAAATTCCGATACCTGGTTTGCTTATTTTTTGAAAAGCTCACATGAAGGGAACATTATTCATTAAAATGCATTTATCAGTTTTCATATTGCTAAACAAGGTGGGGTTACATACCATCTTAGAGGATATAGTTGTCTTTTTTTTTTTTGGTTTTCTTCCGGTACCAGGAATTGAACTCATGACCTTGCGCTTGCCAGGCAGGCGCTTTGCCACTGAGCTAAATCCCCAGCCCTGAAGATGTAGTTTTCAAGGTGCCATTTTGGAAGCAAAGACTGAGCCCTAACAAGACTCCAAAACATGTAGGTGCCTTGATCTTGGGCTTTTCCCCATCGACCCAATTTTGTTGTTGGTTTTGGGGGTTATTTTTGCAAGGGGAACAATATAATATGGGACACATATTTTATAAGATTATTTATAATAGTCACTCAACTAATGATATACAAGAAAGTGCAGGAAATCTGTCCACACACTATAGACCAAGAAATCTAGCCAAAGGCCTGGATCCCACTGAAATGAACTGCACAAATCCAGCTGACGGCCTAGAGTTCATAACAACGCCTCCCACGAATCCAACTGGAGGCCCAGAGCCCATAACAGCATCTCATGCAGGCCTATTTCACGGATCTGCGTTGTGAAGGTCCAAAGGTCAGTGGTGGAATCTAGGAAGTCTGTGCCAGAGGGATGAAGGATCTGTGCTAGCAGGCTGAAGGATCTGTACTGGAGCCAGGAAGCATTGCCCAAAGTAAGAACCAGAGCTCCCCTGGAAGGTACCACAGCTGCCCTCAGAAGCAGTGAGGTCCTGAGCTCCTCCAATGGTGAAGATAGCTGAGTTCCCATCAGGAAAGCCAATGCAGCAAGCTTCTTCAGGAGACTGAGCTGTGCATCTTCTTCCCCTCTGGAGCCAGGAAGTGATGCTCAGAATGAGGACCAGAGCTCCCCCAAAGTGAGTTGAAGCTATTCCCAGTGCCAACAAGGCCCCAAGCTCCTTGGAGGATGAAAACAGCCAAGTTCATCAGGAAAGCCAGCATGAAAATCTCCTCCGACAGAACCAACAACTCCTTACAGCTTCCCAACTCCCAACAGCCTTTCTCAGCTCTGGACAACTGTGAGAAATATATTTCTGTTCCTTATAAATTATCTATTCCCAAATATTCCAGTACAGCAGCATACTGGGGTCTTGGCCTAGCCTCAATCTCCTAAATGAGTGGGCAGCAAGCAGCTTAAATAAAAGAGACAAGTGGTATGATTTTAGGGATCCAAGAGGATCAAAACCCTCTAACAGAATTCGAGATTCCCTGGGGGTCGAGACCTAGAGCTTCTCTAGGCGGCTCATATTTATTTGGTTTGTAAACAAAGGAAGGGGATACTAAGGCAAGCCCAGGAACTGAACAGGACCTTGGGAGTCAGCGCAAAGACTTCTCCACGTCATAACTTTTGCCCACTTAAGAGAACTATCTTATCTCTCAGGTTGGCAACTTTATTGCTCTGGAAAGAGGGTGTCAGCAGCCCATATCCTTGGTTTCTTCAGCTGTGGTTATCTTGACTTTAGAGCACGGAGCATGTGCTCTTTTCCAACACAGCTAGAGGGCCCTGTGTTCAGCAATTTAACCCTGTATAGCCCAGTCTCCAATAGTAGCAGAAAATGGACTACAACTGGCAAATGATTTGGCCAATTGGACAGAGACATAAAAAGATCAAGATTTGGGGGGAGGATATTGCAGATAAGGAGACCAAGCTTGAGGATAAAAAATCCTGGATAGGGGCTGGGGATTTAGCTCAGCGGCAAAGCACCTGCCTGGCAAGCGCAAGGTCGTGAGTTCGGTTCCCGGTACCAGAGAAAAACCAAACCAAAAAAAAAAAAAATCCTGGATAATTATTTACAGGTTAAAAAATTATCATTATTTGTAAAAGGAATTCTGGGCATGAGACACATAAATGGATCTTTGATGTTATGCACAGACTGAAAATCTTTATACCTTAGAAACAAACATAAATAAAAAATAAATGTACTAAACAACTAGATGTGCAAGACAACTCACCTCATAAATGTCCAATTCTGTGTTTCACTACTCCCACAGTGCTTTTTCAGTGCGTGTATGAATTGAGAAACCTTGATTATAGGAGTGAAGATATTACATGGGCCCAAGAACATAATCTCCTTCTCAGCAAGACTGATGGAACTAATGTTGAATATCTGACACTTCAGCGGCACAGACAGACTCTAACAGGATGTAGCAACATCCTTAAGCAGATCAGCCACCTACTTGGCAAGTTGATTACAGTGAACACTGTCCAGTCAGGCATGATGGTATTTGCCTATAATCCCAGCACATGGGAAGCTGAGGCAGAAGGATTGCTGTGGGTTCAAGGCCTACCTGGGCTAAATATTGAGGTCAAGTCCAGCCTGAATTACAGAGCAAGACTCTGTCTCAAAATAAACAAAAACCAAACAAACAAATGAACACTGTCCATCATGGAAAAGGCAGTGGCCTGTCCTTAACTTAGTTACTCTGGATGTGGGCTTGCCATCATTGTCTGCAGTGACTCTGGCTGCGTCACTAATTGAGAGCATACTGAATGCCTAAATCTTATGCCTGTGAGAACCTGTAACATATTGCCTCAGACAGAGGTACCTATCTAGGATAAAGGATGGTGACAATGGGTGTATGCACATGAGACCCACTGTCCTGCTGTTGGATCCAGTGTTGGGTCTCTGAGTGACTCTCCACCTTTCTTCCTTGCCCCCACTCCAGTGCAGAAGGAAGAAGTGGGGCTCTCAGCAGAAAATGGAAGCGTCAAGACTGGTACTACTGGGAAGCAAAAGTTCATTTAAAGTTTTGTCTCTTGTTGCTGAGACAAAATACCTGATACCCAAAATTAAAGAAGGAAAGGTTTATTTAGCTCACAGTTTGTGGAGGTTTCAGTCTATACTGGGCTGGCTCCAAGGCCAGGTGGCACATGGCAGAGAGCAACAGTTCATGGTGGGGAAAATAAAAAAGCACCAAGAGCAAAAGGGAGGAGTGGAGGCAAGCAACCTTATTCCCTTCCTTACATTATATGCAAACTAACCCCCCCCCCCAGGGCAGGTGTAGCATTCACACTCATGAATCAGTCATAAATTCTAGAAGCCTGCCCCATGACTGCATGAAGCTTTGGGTGGACATCCAGAACCAAACCATAACAGTGGCATATGCAGAGAAAGCAGAAAGAAAGCTACCTTAGCAGCAGAGTGGTGTTGCAAGGTAGGGGGCATCCTGCTCATGATGACCCCATGAGTGAGATGTACCTCTTACTTACAGGGTAAGCTAGGTTCTAAAAATAACCGTTTCACTGACTGGTGGTCTCGGCCAGTCAGTGTCTTACTCTTTGTCTCTGGGAAGGGAACAAGGTCTGCATAAGTGAATGTGAATGACACAAGGATACAGTAGGGTACATTTTCTCAAGCACATGGTACACAAATAAGCATGTGATGATCTTACAGTTGTCAGCCACAGATAAGCATGTGATGACTTTACAATGGTAGTCATCAGGTTTTGTCCTGTGTTTTTTCTATGTGCCTTCACCCCTACACTATTATATGCCATATAATCTAGAAGCTACCATCCTTTTTTTTTTTTTTTTTGGTTTTTTTTCCGGTACCGGAAATCGATCTCACGACCTTGCGCTTGCCAGGCAGGCGCTATGCCACTGAGCTAAATCCCCAGCCCAAGCTACCATCCTAATAGAACTTTGAAACAGCCTAAGGCCTCAGTTTAGGAAGGATACCTGTTCGATTAGGGTGCTATTGTCCTAGTTATGATATACACATTGATGCTATGCCTAACAAATTGTTTTATATCCCCAGTACCTATTATATAGAGGTCCAAGAACCAGGGTTC